ATATGTAAATATAAATTGTGCTAAGTGCAAAAAAAAAAAAAAAAAATAAATAAATAAAATAAATAAAAATAAAAATAAATAAAGTAAAATAAATACATGTACACACATCCAATATATCATATTAATTATTTATTTTTACCATTAGCATATAGCATGATTTATTTATTATTTAACTAGAATTTTCTTAATATATTAGTTAAAATAAAAAATTTCTAAAATTTATAAGGTTAAACTTCAATATAAAATTAATGTTAATTTTATAAATGATTCATATAAGGATTTATAATATTTTTCCCTATTTTCCACAGTGCTACTCCTGCTGGCCTACTTGAGCCAAGGCCGCGCAGAAACCAAGGTATGGGCCCATTTCTCTCGAATTGCAGTACTACCTTAATGAACCCACTTTACTTGCAGCAGTTCCGCACGCCAGCTCGCGTGCTGGCCAAGCAGACGGGCGCCACACAGTTCGAGGAGGAGCGCTATGAGACGCACACAAACTGCAACGAGCACAAGCACCACCTGAAGAAGCGCGCCTCCGACGAGGATGTGGACTACGAGGTCTATCAGGGCGTTGTGGGTAGACCAGGCATAGACTTTCCCATCTATCCGCGCATACCAAAGACCACGTTCAGCTGCCGCTCCTATGGCAATGGCTACTTTGCCGACATGGAAACGGATTGCCAGGTGGGTGCAGCTGGAAATCGATTCTAAGTTCTTTCCATTGATCCGCCACTTGACTGCTTGCAGGTTTTTCATATATGTGAGGAGGGCCGCAAGATATCGTTCCTCTGCCCCAACGGCACCATCTTCCAGCAGAGCGAGCTCACCTGCGACTGGTGGTTCAAGGTCAACTGCCTGGGCTCCTCCGGCTACTACGCAGAGAGCGCCGAGATTTTGAACAAGCAGCGCGTTCATCGCGTGCGTCCCTCAGTGCCCGTGCAGGGCTTTAATATTGTTGGCGGCGGATTGAACATCAAGCCGAAGGTGACTCCAGTGGTGGGCCAGGCGCGCGCCGGCGGCCGGGGCAGCAGCAAATCCGACAGGCGCATCGACTCCACGGAGGAGCTGCACGCCTCGCTGGAGAGCGTCGACTTCGACGATGTCTCTGGTGAGAAGCAGCGCAAGGTGCTGCCCAGCATAGACAACAACAGCAACGACCATGAGTCGCAGATCACAGCCGAGAGCTCCTCCTTTGTTAGCGGCTCAGGCAAACGACGCAGCGACAGCAACAGCAACAGCAACAGCAACAGCAACAGCAACAGCAACGGCAACAAGAGCAACGGCAACAGCAACAACAATGGAAACTCCAATTCCAGTCCGAACAGCAGCGACGATTCAACCATTTTGAAGCCAACCCGTAGCCGCAGTAGCGGCAGCAGCGGATCCTCCCACGAATTCAGGGAGCGGGCCCGCAATGGCCAGCGTGGACAGCAGCGCTACAAGGATCTGGAGAGCGAGGAGCAGCACAGCAAGGAGAAGAACAAAGAGAAGAACAAAGAAAAGGCAAAGGAGAAGCCCGATTTCTTTGAGGCCTACTCGGTCCGCCCCGTGCAGCACACGACGCCCCATTACACGCCCAGCAGCCACTCCACTGTGCGCCGCCTGGAGCCGAGCAAGTCCACGCCCTTCTACACGCCCACCGTGCCCAGCGTACCCAAGTCCAAGGGCTCCGAGGGCAAGCTGAACTATATTAAGGGCGGCCATGCCGCGACCACGCCCAATCCGAATCGCTTTGGCAGCGCAGCCATCTCGGGTCTCTTCCTGGAGGCCAAGCCAACAGCCAGCGCCAGCCTGGAGCTCGACAGCACCTACAGACCCATCGTCATCGGCATGCGTCATCATTACGACGTCGCCAGCTCCGGGGAGCTGAAGCAGACGCCCAAGAAGAGCGAGAGTCGCGATTATTTGCCCACGACCCCAGCGCCGACGTCGACGAGCAGCGGACCCACCTACTTGCCCAAGGTGGGCGCCTCTGTGCCCAGAACCAATGCAGCAGCGGCTGCAGCTGGCGAGGAGTCGCTGCTCTTTGCGCCGAATCCCGTGAAGGAGGAGTCCGTTTATCGCAATGTGCAGGATATGCTCAAGACGGTTAATCTGCTCAAGGATAAGTTCGAGGATGTGGAGCTGAACGCACAGCCAGCGACAAACGGCCGTGCTGGCCTGGAAATTCCGCCCTCCTCCGGCCCAGATGCGCTCGTCTCGCTGGCCAAGTACTTTGCCCAGGAGCACAACGAGTCCGGCAACTCCCTGGTCAAGCCGGAGAAGAGTGGAGGGCAGACGAAGCTCTCGGCAAAGGTGCCGGCATCCCTACTGCCCACGGTCAAGCCCTCCGACACGACAGCCACGCTAACTACCTCAGAGGCGCCGCCAAGCATCAGCGAGCAGGCGGATGACATCAAGCAGAGTCTGCTCAGTGCCAAGACCGTGCAGAAGTATAGCAATCTCTTCGGCCTGAAGGATGTCAAGGGTCGGGGATCCCTTGAGGGCCAGGTGGACATCAGCGCGGGCTTACTCTCCAATGAGACGCAGTCGCCAGCCAAGTCGGCGGACTATCAGCCATTCCCACAAATTGGCAGCACGGGCTCAACCATTGCGAAGCTGGCCGAGCAGCCCGAGTCGCGCAAGATAGCGCAAATCTTCTCGAACGCACTGACCAGCTACCTAGATGATCCCGGAAGCTTCCGTGCAGAGCTGGCCGCCAGGGCGCGACCCACCGAGCCGCCAAACTTTAAGCCCGTGACCACAACGGATGCCTCGCTTTTCAGCGACGGCACGGCCAAGTACTACTTGCCCACGAAGCCCTCGCCGGATGTGACCACGCCCCAAAACATTGCGCTCGAGATAAACCACAAGTTCGACTCAACTCCGGCACCGGAATACTCCACGACCACCGAGCTGTACGAGCTGAGCACGAGCCGGGGTCAGGACTCGGAGCTGGAGCTGTCGGCAGAGCTGTCGCCGCCCAGCCCCGACTCGGGCGAGGGCGACGAGTTCCTGCAGCAGCAGCAGACGCAGTCGTTCGTCAAGTCCCGCAACGATTTGCTGAAGGACGCACGGCCCCAAAAGCTCATCACGACACTCAAGCCCACGGAGCACCCATGGGCACTCAAGTCCCAGACGGACTTCCTCGATCCACTGACCATCAACGATGCGCTGATGAAGGAGCGCACCACGAGCACTACATCCAGCACCTCGGCTCCGTTCACCTACTCGCCCAGGTCGCTGGGCAGCAGCACAGCCACGCCCTCGCCCGTGCACTACGAATGGGAGGATATATTCCGCAGCTACGACATTCCACGCGACGCTCTGCCCTCGAGCAGCGGCCTGCAGCGCATAGCCAACAAGCTTTTCGGCGGCCTCAACGAGCAGGAGGCGCTCCACTTGCGCAACGTGATGGCCAAGGCCGAGCACGATCGCCAGGTGCTCAGCCTGCTGCTGCTGCTCATCCAGACCTGCGACGATCACAATGGCAAGGCCCTGGAGCGCTCCCGCAAGCATCTGCTCAATGCCCTCATCGACATCGACAGCAAGATATCCAGCAAACATGTGTCCAGGCAGCAGCAACAGCAACAGCAACAGCAACAGCAGCAGCAGCAGGTGGCCACGACTACGACGCGGGTGCCCGTAACCACATTCCGACGTAGTAGCAATGCGGACTACTATACAAGCACCACACCCGGCTATACGACCAGCACGGAGCTGCCGCCGTTCTCGACCAGCACCACAGCGCCGGGCAGCTACGAGGAGACCACCAAGTTCGAGATTCGCGTCGAGGATGTGGACGATGCTGACTTGGCGGCAACGACGCCGACGCCAACGCCGGCGCAGCCCGAGATCCACTCGGATCGCCGGGCGCTCGAGCTGCTCAAGTCATTATACTCGCTGGCATCAAAGTTTAGCAGCAGGCGATAGGCGAATGGCCAGAGGGTTGCCAACGGTCGCCAATTCCTAATGGCAGTGTTGCCAACTGTGCGCGTTAATGCTTAACTTTTAGTCAACTCTCCCTCCATTCCACTCCGCGGCTCGCACCGAACCCTCCGCCTACTTGGCTTGCAAGCGACTATTTCGTTGAGCCCTTGCGATATTCTATTCCTTCTATTTCCGACAGCTCTTCCTCTTGTTAATGCAATTGTCGCAACTAGTTTGTAAATATGTAAAACGAACAAATACTCGAATATCACATAATACTCGGACAATCGACAGCACGCACCACGTCGAGTTGTATTTAATTAGTATCTTTTAGCTGTAATTACAAACTACGAGTATTTGCCCGATCCAGTTCCCGATCCAGTTAATTAACTATGAACCGTCTACATATGCCCATATATATAAATATTGTATGTTGTCTTTATGTTGTGCTCCTTTTTTGTAAATATTTATTTAACGTTAATAAAGTACATATAAAAATTAAATAAAAATATATATACCAAAGTTTTGTGAATGAGGGAAACTGAGAGGATAAAAAAACAATAATAACGTAATAAATGCGTGAGGCTCTAAAGTACTTTAGGAGTGAGGAAATTGCTTTCAGCTGCGGGAGAGCATTGATGAATCTAGGATCATCCCATATGGGATATAGGGACATGCTTAAGGAATATGCTTTTACACTATTGGCTAAATAAATAACAAATAAATATACATTAATATCCCCAAACCTTTAGAGCAACAATCAGTTCAGTCTATATCGCTGTAGTTCACTGATCGATGAACAAATAAAGATAGATGCATCAAGGAAAATATCTTGGTAAACGATTGGCCCAGCCAAATATGACTAGAGTGAAGTGTAATAAAGAAGTTATCAAATAAGTTATTTACTATTATTACTTATGCTTGACCGATTGATAATCATTTACGTTGTTTGCTTCGTATTTGGTTTCCATTGATTTTACTGATTTGGCTACCAATTAAATTGAACATCAAAATAATGTAGCATATGAAGGAATAAATAAGAGAAGCTGTTGCACAGATGCCATAATGTATCCCACTTGAAGATCCACTCTTCGTGGAGAGCGGCCTACTACACACGAAACGTGTACGCATTATTGGGGCTCATAAAAAGATTAGCCCGCAAGCGATACTAAATCAAGCAGCAGCAATAAATCAATAATCATTGGCTGCCCATCAAATAACTCAACTTGGATAATCGCAATGCTTCACACAAATTCAAGTCTGCAGTTCTAGCCGAGCGGCTGCTGGCCGAGCGGGAAAGGTCAAATGGAACAAATACCCATAAAGCGCTCGTGTAATCAGGCAAAAATTTAAATATTTTTGTCATTTTGAGTTTGCTGCAAACAGAAAGAGAGAGATGGATATATGGGGGGAGAGAGAGAAACACAAGTGATTCGAATGTTATTGTCAATGGCTCAAGGGCGCAGCGGCAGCTGATTTCAATTGGATTGCACTTGAAATGCAATGGATATTTAATTTAATTACGTATACGTAACAGCTACGCTACGTTACGTATACGTACGAGTTGGCAGGCACATCTGATAGACGGAGCAACAATGGCTAATTCAGTGTCATAAATCTGCCCAAGCGCAGGCACGAATCCGCGCTGACGAACTGTCAACCAGACGAACTGGCGATCCACATCAACATAAATCGCACAAAGATGCTGCCCGGCTCAGAATATTCATCCGCTATAAATGCCTGCTGCTCGACGACTGGGGCTTGCAGTTTGTTCTGACGAGTGGAGGCGCTTGCAGGCAAGAGCCTTAAGGATTCGATAGACAAGCAGCAACTGGGAGCTCATTTTCGCCATGCTGGTAGAACGTTACGCCGCCGTCTTGGCAGGTGAGTCAACCAAACACAACTGCGGCTCAGGGTCGGCTGGGCATGGAGTGTGGGCAACTGGCCGCTGGCAGCGCGTAACTCAAGAGTGACCGACCCGCCTCATCGTTATTAGCACTTCCTTTGGAGCTGCGGTTGCTGTTGTTGTGGGGCGTCTGTCTGTCTAACTTTTTGCTGCCTTGCATATTTACGAGGCATGCGTCTTGTTTTTGGCCAAAAGCGAATGGCAATCGCAATACTTGCCAGCCCATTGATGAGGCGGTGCGTTGAGCCACAGTAGAACGAAAGTGCGAAACTCGAATATCAGATCATTCCGCAGTTTACTTCCATTTGGCCATTCCATTCCCAATTCCCAACAAATATTTAACAAAATTTACTTGAAATCAATTTGAAATTCAATCGATTTTCCGCATTTTCCCCTGAAAATCAAACACTTTGCCCCACTGTGGCAGACACCTGAGTAGGAAACTGATAAATAAAGATCGCAGAAGATGTAGAACCGTCCGCATTCGCTATCAGCACCAAGCATCGCATCGCATCTGGCAACGTACTTGGCCCTAAATCGGACGTGGGCCGTCCGATGCCGAGGCAGCGCGCCTCAGTTCACTTCCATTTGTTGCGTCGATTGGTTAGAAACTCGGAGCGAACAGCCAAATCTCTGCCAGACTGCACACATTTAGAAGGCTTTAATGTTTTTGCACTCTCTTCTTTCAGTTTTCCTGCTGCTTTGGAGCGGAAGTGGAGCACAGTTGCAGGTACAGGTGAGTCGCCCCTAGGATCTGAGCTGAATCCTCTTAAAAACTAATTTTTGTCCTTGGATCAGGCACAGAGTGGCTATAACTATGTGCGCCCGGAGCTGGCCACCACAGCGGGTGGCGGAGCTGTTGCGGCTCGTTTACAGCCAGGCGCCTACCCCACGGGCACGGCGGTTCCCCTGACGCCTGCGCCGGCCACCGCCTATGGGGGCGGACTGTTTCCCTCTCCAGCTGTGGGCTATACGCCCAGTGGACAGGCAACGACTGCGTTTGGGGCACCTGCAGCTGCTGTGGGCAGCACCGTCAATCTGCCCAGACGCCCCACTGGCTCTGGTCTACAGGGTGTATCCACTACAGCGCGTGGCGGTCCGTATGGCCCACAGACGCAGTACAGCAACACTGCTGTTGGCTCGTCGGGACAACGTGCGTCTGCTGGAGACGATTACTCCGACGGCGCCGACGGCGACTACTCGGCCATACCTGGTGTGGCTGGCGTAGACTATCCCGTGTATGCCCAAGTGCCGCGCACCAACTTCGACTGCGCCCAGCAGCCCCTGCCCGGCTACTATGCGGACATCGAAGCTCAATGCCAGGTCTTCCACATTTGCGCACTGAATCGCACCTACTCCTTCCTGTGCCCCAACGGAACTGTGTTTAGCCAGGAGACGCTAGTCTGCGTCTGGTGGAATCAATACGACTGCGTCTCGGCGCCCAGCCTGTATGCCAACAATGCCTACATCTACGACTATAGTGGTACCAGCTCCAGTTCCAGCAATGTCAATCTGAATGCCAATGTCTACCGCTCTGGCTCTCAGCCGGTGAATACGGCCTATGGTGGAGTTGCTCCGTCGTCCGCGCCAGGCGGTGGTCTGCGCACTACCAGTGCATCCCAGGTCCCCGGATATAACGCACAGCGTGGCGCCTACGCCACTCCCTCACCCACGCCGGCCCAGTCGCAGTCGCAGTCTCTGTATGGGGCTGGCGCCATCATACGTCCGGCTAGTGTCTCCGGCACAGTCGCTGCTACGGGTGCCAATCGCTTAGCGCCGGCCACAGCCGCTGCCGGACTGGCAGCCACTGCTGCGGGCTTGCTGCCCGATAACGCAGTCGGCAGCTTTGCCCAGCCCGTGGTGGCAGTCGGCAATCGGGAGTATCTGCCGCCAGCCGGCGCAGGCCAACGCCAGCAACGCAACCAAGTATAAGCGTAAACGAATCTTAGCATCTGTACCCGGTAAAATGGCAGTAGACCCGATCTTAGACCCTAGGCTTAGCTTAATTAGCAATAACATACTCACTCACACACACACACTTAGGAGCTCCTTACACAATCTATGTATTTAAAACTAAATTCATATGTATTCCGATTTTTACTATAAATGGCATTACTCTCAAATCAATCTGTATATATAAATTATATATATTTACAATGGTAGAGCTTGAAAGGGTCAAGTTTAGTAATAACAGAATTTCATATAGCTGAGGAGACTATAGAAATATTCAGTGCATAGGTTTCTATAAGAAAACGATTGTTTTTTCTTGTTGCTCAATGCTTAGAGAGTTCACTGAGGAAATCCATTTGCAGCACCTCATTTGACTTTGTTCGTTTCGTCCTCGCATCCTTAAGTATTTTTCCATAATGTTGCCTGAAATCTGAACGTAAATACATATGCCTGCCTCGCTTCAGCTTGGGCTCGCCCTGCTTTGGCAGCGGAATAGTGGGATTGAAAGCCATTTGTGTGCTGTCGAATTGAGCAAAGAGTTCATGGGCATTGCTGGAGGTGATAAATAGATAAGTCGATGTCCAGTATCTATGTCACAGCTAAGATATAACTCACAGTTTTCCAATGTCTGTGGGCAGCGCACCCTCGCCAGATGCTGGCACACCGTTGGCTATATGCGCAGCCATGCGTCTCACTGTGGGATGATAATGCCGGGCGAGTAGCGTGAGCTCGTAGAGACAGGTACTCGCTGCATTGCAGTACTCAGGATCATCCAATTCGGGATCATAACGACCCGAGCCAATTGTGGTATCTGTGTCGAGCAGAGCATCCAGTACCGAGGTCAGCTGGAATGTCTGCTTAATGGTACCCAGAGTAGCCAAAGTTCCGTTGTGCAACAGATGCAGACTGCCCGTGAGCAGTCGCTTGACAAAGGCCATCAGACGCTGCTGGCTCATGTTGCGCCGCCGCTTAACGAGCACCTCGTCCAGCGTGCGAAGGATAATGGCGAAATCTTCATGATTTTTGCCCGCATGCACGACCAGCATGTTGCGATAGAAGTGCTGGTAGAAGCGTATGGGATCTATGTTCAGGACTTCACCTTGACCGGACAGTATAACGAAGATGGTTTGGATGCAATGCAGCTGCTCGCGGTAACCCAAGTCCTGCTCCTCAAGTATGCGGTTGAGCACATCTATGAGATCGGCAAAGAACTCCAGGTTTATGACATGAGCGAATCTGTAAGATATGGTATAATTAGAGAATACTTTTGATAATTTTCATTTCAGTGCTCACTCTGCCAGGCCCTCTAGAATTGCACTGAGCACACGCGACGTGGGATCGTTCTTAAGAACCCGGAAATATATGGTGAACACCATTTTGATAATCTCCGTCAATTTGTAGTGCTTTGTCTGTTTATTTTCCTCGGCGCGCGTCTCCTCCAGCTCCTTGTTGACCTCGGTGAGCTTCTTACGACGCTTTCGCTCCTTCTTTGACAAACTGAGCAACCGCTGACGATGGGACTCCAGTTTCTTTTGCTTCAGTTCATTTTCCTTTTCTGCATCGAGATTGACATGCTTGATCTTCAGGCCCATCATGCATGTAATGCACTCGACATGCACATTGTTCTGCTTGGACTTGATCAAATGATTGATGCGACGTACAACAAAGAGCGTCATATCCAGTTTCTTGTCGTTGCTGAACAACGTGCGAAAGCATTGATTGACGGCAACGCGCATTGTTCCATAGTTACAGTTGAGCATATAGACCAGGAGCTGGGCAATGTTTTGCACGTAGTTGAAGTACGGATGGGCAATCAGCAGGTCACACATGCACTGCACGGCCACCGCGGCAATTTTGATGGCTTGTGGCGTCTTGTGGCCACCCCGCTTATTGACCTGAGCCGTTAGGTGCTCCAGTTTCTGCAGGAACTTCTTGAATTGCTGCAGCAGCGCATTTTCAAAGGTAACACGTTCTAGCGTGGCTTTGCGTACCGTTTGCATCTTGGTGTCTATCTGGCCCACTCGATATTCGGGGAGAATATCTTTGAATATCTCAGTAATTGAGATCATCGCCAGTTTGCGCACGGCGAAAAGATTGGGAATGCCAGTTTCAGGGTTCACATCATTCATCAGCTCGTAGAGCGCACTAAAATTGCGCATTTTATCCTCTGGCTTCTCTAGGATTCCAGAGCAGATTATGCCTATGCGATACTTCTGACGTTCGATCTCCTGCTGTCGAGCAATTAACAAATCTGTGGTGGACACGAGCTTTTGCTTGGGTACGGGTGCCTCATCGTTAACTATATCATCGTCGCTGTCCTCGAATATCTCTTCGCTGTCTTCCTCATTCTCATCCTGTTCAGCATCTACCTCCTGCTCCTCTTCGGCCACTGCCTTCCGTTTGGGTTTCGGCACATAGTCAACCTCTGTGGTACGCGTTATAATTTCGCCGTCGCGAGATTTAATGGGCAACAAATTAACTTTTATCTTTTGTGCCGCTTGTTCCTTTTTGCTAGCCGTGGTGTAGGCCATTTCCAGACCCACTGACTGCTGCTGATCCTCCACAGGAGCCGCCTTTGCCTTTCGTTTCCGTTTTTTGGCCTGCAGTAGTGCAAGATCATCGCCGTCCAACATGTCTGCAACGTTGTCCAGCAGGTGATCGCCGCCAACGTCATCATCATCATCATCATCATCTGCATTGAGTTCTTTGTGCAGTCCCAGTGATTGCTGTTTATTGTGCTTCTTGCGCTGTGCTAGATTGTCACGTTTGTGGGCTTTCTGTAAAAAAATATTTTGCCCATGTTCTCGTTTTGAAGTCAGTTGCTCGCGCTTCTGTTTAATTTTTTGTTGTTGCTGTTTGCTCAGCGGTGCCTTTTTTGATTTCAAATGAGCGGCACGCTTCACCGAACTGATTTTCACTTTTTTCTGCAAATTTTGAGAGTTTTTAATTTGAGTGTGAATTAGAATGCTATCAATAATACTTACAGTGCCCATTTTATTTAATTTTAAGGAAATGCAAGCCGCTACTTAATAAAATAAACGCGAGCACATGGTACTTGCTAATAGCGCTGAGACTTAGTCGATACTGCCGTACCGATAATACAAATTATCGAAATTTTCTTATATATCGACCGCCGCCAGTTGTAATTACAGTTCAGTGTCAAATACATCTGTTTCAGTTTGTTTACGTTTTGTTATAAGTGTTATCTCGATGTCTGAAGAAGAGGATGATTACATGTCTGACAAGTTCTTGTCAGGGTAAATAATACAACAGACTGCCAGTTATTCAAACTTCTTAATTCCTATTGCTCTTACAGCCTGCAAGATGTGCGGCCAAGTTTGGTAAACAATCGCGCTAAAAAGCGACTGATCAGAGTGGAAACAAAGCAAGCGGAGAACAGTAAACGGCAGCGTGAAGCAGCAAATGCTTCGACAGTGAACAATGCTCTGCTTCAAGAGTCGCTCAACAAGCCCATTGCTGCGGACAACAAAGGCTTTCAGCTGCTGGCCAAAATGGGATACAAGGCTGGCAGTGGACTGGGTAAACAGGCAGACGCGCGCATTGAGCCCATAGGGATAAGCATCAAAAATGATCGTGGAGGACTGGGGCGTGAGGCAGCGATAGCCGAGCTGGCAGCCAAGCGACAGGAACTGCGGTTACGAAAAGCAGGCATTCAATCTGTTGAGGAAATCAGCACTGAGGCCTATCGACGACGAGCTACACAAAAAGCAGAAGAACGCAAGCTCAACTACGATATACGACGTTGTCAACAAACGTGCGAGTCTTTGGATCTAGCAGCAGGCGTTAGAGAACCAGATCTAGATTTTTTCTGGCCCCCTAAGCCCATAGAACCAAGCGCCGAGGAAGAAGAAGATGAATCAGTCGAAAAACGAGCAGAATCCGAGGACGAGAAAGAAGAGCTGTACAGTGGGGCGGAGCAGTTAGAACTCCTCACGAGCTATTTGCGCACGGCCTATACATTCTGTTATTGGTGTGGAACGCACTACGAGAGCATTGAGGATTTGGAAAGTAATTGTCCGGGTGAGACACGGGATGAACATTAGCTTAAAATCTATTTTCATTATATCATTAAATGTTAAATTTACAAAATACGCACACATTCATATATATTACAATAAAACGTAGTCCAAAACAATTATGTATAGCGCTGTACTAGGATAAAATCGGAACTGGCTACACGCGTCCTTCCAACTTTTGTATAAGATCGTGCGTTTGCTCGATAACGCTGTAGATGAACGGTCGCTCCATGGGATCGATGCGCAGCATGTACTTTATTAGCTCATGCATATCCTATGGAATATTAGGGAATATATGTAGTTAACTGAAGTTTTGGGCATAAGCTAACTGACTTACTTCTGTATAAATGGAATCTTCAGGAATGTTTACATTGCCACTGAGCACGGCCAAGGCGACGCTGTCGCCACGCTCATAGATGGGATCGAATGGACTGTTAAAGTAGCACATTGCATACAAAACACAACCGAGACTCTGAGAAGAAGTAAAATCAAAGCGTTTACTAAAGTTGACTATTATACTCTATATATGCTACTTACCCATATATCCGTGCGCTCGTCAATGGTGCAATATGTTTTCACAGTAAACAGCTCGGGCGCCCGATAGACAATTGAGCTGCGCTCCTCGGCCTCGTCTTGGAGCCGCTGTGCATCCGATTGGCCGCAAATTTGCAGACGCGCCTCCGTCATCGAGCCGAGGTCCACAATGATGGGCTCAAATGAGTCGGACAAACATATATTGGCAGTTTTCAGATCACGATGAGCCATCGGCACTGGCTTCGTTTCATGTATTGCACGGAGACCCTCACAGACGCCCAGAAAGATCTGCAGTATCTGGGCCTCGGGCATATGATCCTGCTTGCGAGCGCGCAGCTGCAGGTGATCCGACAGCGAGCCATGCTTGTAGTAAGGCAGTACAATGAACAACGTGCTCGTTGTGTTTATCACAATGTCCGCCTGGCCGACCAGTTCGTAGTCAACAACGCGAATGACATGTTCCGAATCGATTTTGCGACAGTTTTCGATTTCACGCAGGGCAATATTCTGGTCCTCGATGCTGTGGCAAGTGATTCGCTTTATCGCATAGCAGCGCCGCGTTGCCGCATTCTCTGCCAGGTCAATCAAACTAAAGCCCCTGCAGCAGATAGTGTAACAAGTGAGATAAGATAGTAAAAGATGTGTAACCATATTTAGTGTACCCTATATGGGGGGGCAACTGGCAAATGGAATGGAACTATCATATAATGGCAATTACTACTGTACATGTGCTTTCACACGTGCAGCACAGTAGAGCAACAAGTGCAGGGCAAATATAAGCGTGTATACATATGTATGTACATACAATAAATCATAAACTTTTGGAAACAGTTTTGTAACGGGAATTTCTTTTATTTGGTGTTCAATTTACCCCTGTGCCAGGCGTTCTCGGACGGTATAGCGGGAGCCATTGATGTTGAGCCTTTCTTTGCTGCAAAAGCAGCCACGTTTCACAATTAACGTCCATCCAATGCTTTGCATTTTACTTTCTCCAATTAATTATGTACAAAGCGCACAAATGTCGACCCTAACAAACTAACTAAAAACAACAACTAATTAATGTCGCGCAGCACAGCTGTTTAGCAAGAACAGGGTGGTTAACCGCAACACATGGAACATGCTGACGTGGCGTTGCCACCTGATGCAAATTTCAGCATTTCAATTTATACTATATATTTTTTAAACGCAATTTTAAACAATTCTTCCATTTTAACAAATGATGATTACCACGGACGAAGTTTGGAGGGACCTTATTGGTATTAACGCCGATCCGCCTGACAGACGTAAAAAATGCGACAAGTGCAAGTAAGTGAATACCACCAAAGCAAGCCCAATTTAATGCAACAACGCCTTCCACAGACGACCCGTCGTTGTTTGCTGGTGTTCCTCACTGCCTCAGCCTCCCGTTGCGGTGGCATCTCAAATTGTGATTCTGCAACACCCTGCCGAGGAAAAACGCTCGCTGCGCACAGCTCTTATGCTGCAATTAGGTCTGACGCCTGGGAAGTGCGTGGTATACAAGGGCAAGCGTTTTCCCAATACTCGCCACCCACCTGAGCTGCAGCAGGTGCTGGATTCGCCCCAGACGCTTCTACTGTATCCCAGTAAGGATTCGGTACCATTGGAAGAAATTGATCGCAGTGCGGGTCCCTATACCCTGGTGCTCATTGACGGCACCTGGCCCCAAGCAAAGGCCATCTATGCTAGTAGTCCGGCGCTGCATCAACTGCGACAAGTCAAACTAATTGCGGTGGGTGTGAGTGACTACATTATACGCACACAGCCAACTGAGGGCTGCCTAAGCACCCTGGAAACAGCGGCGCAGTGTCTGGCGGTGCTGGAATCGAAGCCAGAGTTGCGTCAGCAGCTGGTTCGTCCACTGCATGCTTTGTGCAAATACCAGCTGGACAATGGTGCCGTCGAGCATCAGTCCAAGGAATACCTCATGAAAACTAATCAATATCCCAAGCCGATTGGCAAGAGGCTAAGTCGCCTATTGAACTATAGCAATACTGTCTGCGGCAGTGCCGCGCCCCTTGAACAACAGTCGGATACGCAGGAGTCTAGATGAAAAATAAAGTAGTTAATGTTCTGCGCACGGCCGTGGCTGCATATTTATTAAGTACACATTATAAACTATTTGTAATTTTTAAACAGAATAATGTGATAATTTATGTATGTGCATAATTGCTCGCGTCGTTTCTAGGGGCATTCAAACCATTGGCTTGTTCCGGGCATCCGTCAGAGCACGCATCATGGCGCATTGCACAATGGCGTAGGTCCTCTTGCAAGCATTCGGTTCACTAACTGCAGTAGATTTAAATTGACTTCAGTAAATCTCTACAGCGCAGTCGATTGCTCTACTTACTGCCCTGCGACTCGCAGTACTCGATGGAATCGCCCGTTGCTGGCCATATATACTTTCGCACGATGCTCGGCACTAGCTTGAAGTTTTCCACTATACCGGACTTTTCGAAGAAGCAGCGGAAATAGCACTGCAAAGTATTAGAAATGATCTGCTTTAGCTGTTTAGTTTTGGATTGTGAGTCACATACCATGCTAGTCAAATCTGTCTCATCAGCTAGTTTGCCCGTATTATTGAACTGCAGAACATAAGCTAAAAGAAGAATTTCGTTAAATAATTATTTTCCTACTTGGGGACTTCTGAACTCACACATGGGCGTAATGAAACTTGCATTGCAGCCATGCATGATAGCATCAAAGTCAATATAGTCGGGATCTCTAGGTGCTTCGGTGGTGGTCGATATGTCATCCACATCACCATCGAAGCTGTCATAATCTATAATGAATATATCTCCGTTGTCCTTCGCACGATCACTCAATGCACTTATGAGCCCGCCACATAGGCTCAGAGTACTCAACAGAGCGATAGAAACGGGGAACATTTTCGCAACGGTAAATTGAGTTTACTGAACAGCTACGAGTCCAGGAACACATTTTATATGAAATGTGGTGATACAATTAGATAAACCAATTTGTTCTACACGCAATATACAGTTTTGAAAACTTAATAATCTTTACGACAATGGCGTGATAATTCCGCACAACACAAATGAAAATGACCTATTAAATAACAGCTCTTTGAATGAACTAATGATTTACATATTTAAATAAATATGTTTTTAGACAATTTATAAATCAGAGTTTTTTTTTTTTTTTTTTGCGTGGGAGTACTATTTACTATCTAACGTAAATATAATGGTTTTGTATTTGCATAAACGAAATGTATTTTATGAAATTTGTAACACCTATGAATCAATCTTATACTAAAAGCAACTAATAAGTTTAAGACTGTGGATAATCTGTAGTAATTCTAAATTAACTTGTATAAGAAAAAATCCATCTGTTGTAGAGTTTAAGAGTTCAACAAATTTCATATCTATGTTAGGTTCTCGTATGAGATATACGAGTATTGTATATTACATTGTATAAATACATGCATTGGCATGCTCATTTGAATCTTTTCATACTACCTCTCTCTTTAGTTTACCATATGGCAGCAGGAACTCCTCAGCGCAGGCTGTTCTGACCTCCAAAAAACGCGCATGGAACTGACTTTGCACCTCCGGAGTATCTGGATCGATGTCTAGATCGTCAGCGCGCAGCTCCGTTAAGCACAATCCACACAGAAAAAGGAGCTTAAGCAAATGAAAGCGCGACATCTTTGCTGCAGAGCAAGGCAACGGTTTGACAGCAGAGAGATTGGTTTGGCCTTTATAGATCAGTCCGACAATAGATCGATTCAGTTACCAAACAAAAACATTTTTAAACTAAATAGTTGCTGTTTAATCGAACAATAAATACATGCGAGAGCAATATTCTCATTCATATAATACAAAATTAATAATATTTAAATGAATGTTAAACGAAATCTAAATAGTTCAATGGGCGCTTTGATTGGCTGTGGTCAATTTTGCTCTTCTGTCGAAAAGCGTTCACGAAAATTGGGTAAATAGCGTTAAATTAACTTAATGAGTGTCGGGAACTGTAGTGTAGATCGCGCAACGAGGTCGATGTTTAGAGTGAGGATCATAATGTATAGAAATAGCCGAGTTAGTATAGCCAAAGGTTACAAATTTACAAGTATATAATTGTACGATGATGTATAGAGTAGTTTAGTGAGTTAGCCTTATAAATAATTTCGCTCAACTTTGCAGTAATTCTTCATGGAATCTGTTTTGAATTGTTTATTCTTTTAAATTACTCTATGCAGCGTCCACGTTGCATCTACACGTCAGACCTTGGCTCCCCAGGCCCGCTTCAGCAGATAGGCGCCCTTCTCGGCAATCATTACCGCCGGCGCGTGCGTGTTGCCGGACGTTACCTTGGGCATGATGCTGGTGTCCATCACGCGCAGTCCCCGTATGCCGTGCACCCTCAGCTCGTGATTGACGACGGCCAGCGGATCCTGAGCTGGACCCATCTTGCAGCTGCCGGCCTGGTGGTTCTCGGGCCCGGTGTTCTGGCGCACCGCACACTCCCAGTAGGCGTCGCTGCCGAAGGTGTGCGACTCGCAGCCCTTGACAACGGTCTTGTCCAGCCGCATGCCATACTGCTTGAGGGGCGAGCTCTGCGATAGCCTTATAGCAAACTTGATGCCCTCCACCAGGGTCTTTACGTCATGCTCATCGGTCAGGTAGTTGGCGAAAATGCGAGGCGGATCCAGAGGATCGGAGGAGCGCAGCTGAATGGAGCCACGAGATCGGGGATTCAGCACTGCCGGGAATATTTGTATGGAGCGCGAGTTGTTGGAGAGCAGCTCACCCACTTGGCCCGTGCGCGCGCAGCTGGCCAAATAGCCGCCGAAGTAGAGCTGTATATCCGGCACGCCTGGGCGCTGGGCCCAGCGTGAGGACAGCTTGGCGGTGACATCTGAAATGCCCGTGCCCGACATGAGGCCATCGCGGAACAGCAAATACTCCATGGCGGTGGCCCAGTTGAGTGGCGCAGTGTCCGCATCGTCGATAAAGAAGTTGGTGAAGAAGGCCACGTGGTTCTGCAGATTCTTGCCCACGCCGGGTAAATTATGCACGGGTCGCACATTCACCTGCTTCAGCTCCTCCTTGGGGCCCACGCCGCTGAGCAGGAGGATCTGGGGCGAGTTGACGGCCCCAGCGCTGAGCACCACCTCCTTCTTCGCCATTATCTTGCGCGTGCTGCCGAACTGATCGGTGACCTCCACGCCCAGCACGTTCTTCGTGTGCGGATGAATCAGTACCTTGGTAACTGTGGTGTTCAGCAGGATGTGCAAATTGTTGCGCATGCGAGCGGGTCGCAGGAATGCCCTTGCGGAGCTATAGCGAATGCCATTGCGCGCAGTCATTTGGGCGATCATGAAGCCCGTGGCATTCTGCCCGTTCAGATCCTGCACCGTGTAGCCCATTTCCTCGCCGGCCTTGAGAATGGCGTACGAGAGAGGCGGATTATAGGGGAACTTGCCAACTGGCATTAGACCTCCTTTGGCGTGATATTCAGTGCCCACAGCATCCAGTTCGAGATTGTCTTCGGACTTCTTGAAGAATGGCAACACGTCGTTGTAGGCCCAGCCGGGATTGCCTTGCGCCGCCCAATCATCGTAGTCCTCACGGTTGCCGCGTATATACATCATGCCATTCATCACCGATGTGCCGCCCAAGACCTTACCGCGTGGCCAATAGCAGCGCTGCTCCATGGAGGACAGGCACGCCATCGGCTCCGGCTCCGTGTTGTAACGGTAGTCAATGTCGCTGCCAATGAAGTTCAGGAACATGGAGGGTATCTGAGCGCCCACCGGCTCATCGCCACCTGCAAAGTAGCAGACAAATAACGATATCAGTTGAAGTGTGATTGAATATACCACTAGCAAAATTATAAATATATCAATATTCAAGGAAAGTGAGGCAAAACACAAAAAACAATAAAATAAATAATTAATTGAATATGATTAACTGGTAAACTAACGTAGCTCATTATGAGCATGGTTCAATTAGAGAACCGAATACATTATTATTATACTCATTAATTTTTTTTTTACATTTATAATTTATAAATTTGAAATTTATTTGCAATTGTTCATTTTTGTTTTATATGTTTGAAATTTGTTTAGTAGTTTCTGCTAAATTAGTTAGCGTATTATTTATTGCTTTGCTCATTTTAGCCGTCGCCATGCCAATTAATTTCTACTAATTTTTTTTGTGACTAACACAGTAATGAAAAGAATTAGGCTGATTGAAATACGATTGAGAGAAACTCGAATTGTCATTTGTACATTTGCTGATATTATCTAAAGGTGATTCTTAATTTAATTTTTGTATTCTTCTTTCAGTTTTGAATCAACATTCCAGAATTTCCGTTTTGCATGAGCACACGATTTTGTTGGGCAATTTAATGCTCATCAATTAATTAAATCAATGCAAATAAAAGGGTATCTGATTGCTATTCGAACCGTGGGAGCTTGAAATCTCACCGCAAGCTGTCTAAATAATAATTTAGCTTGTCGTTTTGTCAGCTGCGACAAAAACAAAGGAAATTAATTTCAATTGTAACAAATTGCGAGGAATTTTAGCTAATAACTAGTTCCACAAAATAAATTCGTTTAGAATGTTTATATGCTGTACACGAAATAAAACAAGATTATATTAAAATCAATCTGAGGGCAATTTTTATTATTTATGTACATCACAAATCAAAAAAAAAAAAAAAGAAGAAAAGATAAGTAATTAGCACACGGGACTTGATTGTATTTATGTATTTTGGCTTGTATTTATTCATATGAAATGACATAAATAATATAAATAAACACGCATATCAATTAAGTATGCAAACAAAGTCTGGACTCTTTATACGAATCTCAATTGCGAAGCAAATGTTATTAATGTTAATATAAATAATTAGATAGAAGATACAAACCTCTGAACAGCATTTAGAACAGAGTCAAGCACCTTTTAGATGTATTTATATAAGGCGCAGTAACTGAAGACCTAAAACAACATATATCGCGCAGCCCCGTAAAATAAAAACAAAAGCCTTTGGAATACAGTCGTGGTTGGAATACGCAGAGCTCTGCATTTGAGTCATATTTGATTTAATAATCTCAAGAGACAATAATGATAAAGTTAGGCATTAAAGCTTATGCATAAACGAAAGACTTAAGACACAAACTTACGAAACAAGCTTTGCCGATTCTGACAGAGCTTCTCACATTTATTTTGCATTTAAATTACATATTAATTATATATATATATAAAGAAATAAAACGTGTTTTGACCTCAGCAAAAATACATCCGCTGAAGATGCACAACTCACGCAGATGGACGACATTGAATGAATGAATAATGATCCGAGCCGAAAGACGTCTATCGTCTATTGTCAGAATTGGAAATTCAAAAGTGTCAACGCCGTGATTAGGCATATTTTTGAGTGTGCAACCAAGTGGAACTAACGCACTTAGCCACAACAGCACTTAACAAGCACTCGCGGTAATATAATATGGAGAAATAGCTAATTGTTGTAAATGCACTTAGGCCATTGTTGGATCATTAGCACCAACGCATTGACAATTACAACTCACTATCTATAAAATTGTTTGTTGTTGTTGTGGTTTTTTTAAATTTGATTTTGGTTTCAGTTCGGCAATTATTATAATTAGTGACAAGGCATAGTAATTGTTGCACAATAACAACTAATTAAAGGGGTTACAAGCGACGCTAACCCCAAAAGCAACCCAAGCAGTGCGAGCTTCGGCTGCCGATCAACCAATTCTAGTGTTAATGGCTCTTCAAGGTTAAGAAACCGAGATAAATCATATTCCAGCTGCCAAATTAGCATCCTTATCAGTCTATGACCCAAAGACTGGTTGCTGCCTGGTACCGACTCAAGTCCGGATAATTCACAAAAATATAAAAAGTACCTTTGTAATTTATGATTTTTGAAATTCAAATGCTTGTCACGTAAGCACACAGCTTTTTAACTTTTAACTGGATATACAAGTTAGGTAAAGGCCCCAAGCCACATAAGTTTCGCAGAAGAAATTATATATACATATGTGTATAAATAAACAGATGAGTGCTCGAGAGCTGTCAAGAGCATCAAATGTCTTTCGCTTCATTCTTCCAAGTGCTCTCTTTAACGATACAAAAAAAGAATCGGATTTATTCTTATTCGAAACTTGTCCCACAATCAAAGATTGAATCTCTTCAATCTCTGTGAAATTCACCAAATAAATTAGAGCGAATAGATCAGGTTTTTTTTTTCCCGCACTTCATCGAGTATAAATAAATAAATAATCTAGAGCAATAAATGCTTTTATTGAGGCACGCGAGCCAATTATGCTTAAGTGCTCATCGGGCCAAGTGAATGCCCTTTATTGAACTGTTTGTCCGCTTAGTATGCGCATCTTAATTCATTAATAAAAAGCTGCAAAATTTGTGAGTCGATACAAAAACAATTGTCGATTGTTAAGTGCAAAAAGGCACTGAAGCGTTAAATAAAACCCCTGCAACTGGACAGAAAGACCAAGTGGCATACAAGCCCATAAACAACGTATATATACTTATTTGCATAGGCGCAAATTACCGGCGGGGCGAGTCTAAAGGGGCAAGTGGTGGGTGTGAGAGAGGGGGTCAGCTCATTTATTTTACATAATGCTCAAGGCAGTTGTGGTTGCTTCTTTGCCACAATGTTGTTGGTGTTGCATGTTGTTGCTATTGTTAACTGTTGCTCAAGTGCCATTGCTTTGTTTTTGTTTTTGTTTATTGTGCGGCTGTTGCGGTTAAGCTTCAATTACTTTTAAACAAATGCCACATAACGCGCGTCTAATTGCCCGCAGCACCCCCAGCTGGCAACATGTATACACACGCGGGCAACATGTTGCTGGGGCGCAGCGCAACATGAGATCGTTTAGCAGCTGTCAATATCAATGGTATACCACTTACCGGCTTCAATGAGCAGCACTTTCCACTGCGGCACCTCGGAGAGACGTGACGCCACCACAGAGCCAGCTGAACCGCCGCCAATGACAATGAAATCGTACTCGTAGTCCGGCTCCGAGCGGAACTGCATTGAATAGCAATCGAATTAGAGATTCGCAGCGGCATTTCATTTTCGACTTACCCTTGAGCTTGCCCGTCCGCATGGATCTTCCAGGTCGCACTGCGAGCGTATGAATACCTCGAGCAGGCCCATGAATAGCATGAATGCGCTGCCGCCGCATGTGGAGGCGAGTGTTGGCCCGGTGGGCACGCCCACCAAACAATCACAAGCTGATGTGCTGGTAGACATTATTCGAATCGCTGTGAATAGCAGTTAAAAGTAAAAGACTTAGACAACGAACTTAATAATCATTTAGTAGAAACAAAAGACTTGGGCAACAAACTTGAGCGTCATATTAAACATGTATATATATATAATTTTTTGGCAAATTAATGTTAATTATCAATAACAATTAAATACATATTTTATACATTTCACAATTAGATGTGGCCTTGCAACTGCAATCCATTGCAAACCTCCAAGAGCCCGAGCGCAATTTGGTTAACCACGTCGAAGACAATGCCTCGGCTGACGTCGCTAAAGAGGCGTCGCCGGGGCACGCGAAGTGTCCATAAAGCAAACACACAAACCCAAACATTTGCTGACTGCCTCTGACCAAATTGCCGCCAGCATTGGTAATAGCAAAAGGCCAAAAAGCCGACGTAGGCAGAAGACAGACAGAAGTCATAGCTCATCATCAGCAGACGTCGAAAAGAGCTTGGCTTTCGGCTGCCTCGTAGTTCGCATAGTTTCACATGACCTTAGCCCAATGCTGGCTAGAGTGCTGCCTATCTTTTATCTTATTTCATCTCTTAGCTCTTTAAAAAAAGAAATAGGAAACTAAATTCAAATTTCATAACGCAGCTCGTTGAGTTCATGGCGCCTAAAACAGAAGCAATTGTTAAATAATACGACCAGCTGTAGTCCACTCTGATTGAGTAATAATCAAGCCAGTCGCTGACTCAATTGCAGTTTGGGTCAGAAACTCTGAACTGGACGACAAAACTGAAGCTGATCTTTGGTATAATGGTCGACTTTTGGAATTCCGTGTTTAATTCAATATGGAATTTTGCTTTCTATTCAACTTGGTTGCGAAAAGCAATCTTAATTGCTTTATTTATATGGCTTACTTTGGTCACTAAGACGAAATGAAAACATACTTAATTTAATGTAAAGGAAAAATGCTTTCAGTTTATATAAATAGCGAATAGGATGACCCTGATTTCTCGAATTTACATAATCAACTTGGCTCTTTTGCTATATTAATTCTTTATATAATCAACTAATGATCAAATTGCCTATTCATTAGATGCATAATTAAAATAACTCAATTTGTTTTTGTTGTACACTTTTCACACAGTTTTTGGTAAGCAATTACAGGGACGGCCGCCCACAATTCGAGGTGCACAACAATTTAGCTTAATTTTTCAGTTTCTAAGGTTTTTGGAGATGTCTACAACGTTTTTGACCTCAATTAGAGACTGAGCGACTCGCCTGAATTTGGCCAAAGCAATCAAATTGCAATTTGTAAGTGCAGAGCCAAAAACAGAAAGTTTAACAACCAAAACCGAAAACTGAAGCAAATAGTCACAACAAAATCGAGAAGTTCAAGCAATTGCTACAGTTGGAGATCGCGATATCGACTTGAAGCAATGATGGTGCGCGCATTTGACATTTGAAACACGATTCGTTCAGTTTCTATTTGTATGCGCCTCGCTTCTGGCCTCATCTGGTGTCTCAGCTACAGTTTCCAACGGCAAAGTTGAAGGATGCCTCGAAAGTAAAGCATATAGCATACGCAGCGCGCACGCGAGCGTGGAAAATCTGAAAGAGAGGCAGTTGACCTCGTGGCAAGTTTTTCCATCAGGCCAAAAAATAAATAAAAGCAAAAGCAAACAATCAACAACTACCAAAAAAAAAAAAAAAAAAACCAGCTGAACTTCAGAGTATGGAAAATGCGTGCAGAAATCGTGCACAGTTGAATCTACGAAATAATAAAATAAACAACAATAAAATACTTAAAAGTTGCTCCAAACAACTTTTGGCACTACTGACTTGAATAAAAATGTGCAGCGGAAAACTAGTTGAGGGTGTTATGGCTATTACTAAGTTACAAGACACCAACGCGTGAAAAGGATGATTAAAAAATAGTTAACAAAAAATTTAGATAAATAAATAAAATAAAATAAAATAAAAAAATAATTATAATAATAGAAAATAAAATACTACACAATAAAATAATAATAAATTAAACTAATATATAATGAAAAATAACTTCATTTAAGTTTCTACAAATCTCCTTGATACAGATTATATTTTTATTTTGATATTTTCAGCTATAGCTAGACAACTTCTCAACTCAAGCTTAAAGAAATATATTTAGCATATATTTTATATTTAAGAGAAATATATTTAAGATAAATAACTAGTCCTCCAATAAGTGGAGGTGGCACACATGTTACTATACAATGATCAGAATCCCCAACAAGCAAAGTTGTCAGCTCTTCAGGCATTGGGTAATTATGGCTATGATAAGAGATTTAAATCTTTATGCTAGGCACTTCCTTTGACAGCGCCAACTCCCTAATTAGCTGTTGTACATCTATGTATATATCTCCATATATCGCCGTGTGCACTGAGGCGATGCGCCTGTCGATAGCGCGAGTGCCACACATCAATTGTTGCTGCGGCTGCAGAGGCCATAGCATTGTATTCATGCTATGGGTACGTATGATATCTTCATTGATAGGGTTGGCATTGTCTGCACGGCTTTGAAGGTTTCTTTCAGGTGTCAGTCAGTCAGTTAGTCAGTCAGTCAGTCAGTCAGTCAGTTAGGCACTGCGTGCGGACTCGTGCTCATTGAGACGTTGCGCTGGTGTGAACAAGATAGTTATTAAAGAAAGATACGGCTGTAATCTGGCATATGACTGTATATTTGACAGCTTCTCTTGATTATTACTTTTGTGGTGCTTAATAATTGTGGGAACTCTGCATTTATTAGAATAATAATAATAAACTAACGGAATTTATGCGTGCCATGACAAAGGCGTTAGATTAAAGCGTGCGATTGTCGGCGTCTGCCTTGCGTAACACTCGTTATAGACAGGCCCTGTGCTAGGCAGGCTCAGGGTCTGTTTATCTTGCTCTTGCATTCATATTAGCTGCAACTTCTATTGCTAATAACAATAATCGACGATCAAGAGCCGTAACCAATTTAACGCTGTGCACATTGTTTGGCACTTTGTAGCTATTAATTTTAGCTGGCAAAACTGGCTGCACAAATCAAAGCCAACTGTTAACGAGAGCGAAATGGATAAAATAGATAAATAATACCGAAAAAAGCGGCGCAAGAAACGGGTCATAAAACGCGTCAAACCGACAAACTGGCCAAAAGTACGCATAATTTAAAAGAGATGCAAATAAAATGAAAAGCGAGCAACAAATGAAGAGATAAAGGAAAAACAATCATAATGGCCAAATAAGACGCAGCGTGTTGCCGATGCGGCTATTACTATAGCTGTTGTTGTTGTTATTGTTGTTGGTGGTGGTGTGCAGCCGGATCTATAAATTAGCAGCAACATCAACGCGACGCGCTGTGGCAGCAACAAGCTAATGTAATGCAAACATTGCGAGTGCCACGATATTGATAACTGAACTGAACTGAACTGAGCTGGACTGCAGCTGTAACTGTAACTATGGCTGTGGCTGTGGTAACGCCGGCGGTTGGCCATTAGAAATTGGCCAAGAAATCAAACAGTGTGGCGGCTAACAACGTTAACAACAGCAGTAGCAGCAGCAGTAGCAGCAGCAGCAGCAATTGCACTCGCAATTTAAAGGAAGCAGCCGCGCAATGCCTGGCTAAACTTGGCCAATGCATCTGAAAAGTATCTGTATCTGTGGCTCTGTGTCTTTGTATCTGTGCCTCTTTCGGATGCCGGTGCCGGTCTCATGGTTTAACTTCCTATTTTCACTTTCGTTCGCCTTTTGGCGCCCAGGCTGGCCGTACGAATGCAACAACAACAACAACAGCAACAACAGTAACAACAACGACTACAACAATTGGCTAAAGTGATTCGGTTGTTTATGTTTTTCGTATTCCTTTTACTTTTCTTTTTTCATTACTCTTGCTTTTGCTTACTTCGCATTGTCAACGCGCTTTCAGCAATGTGCGAATATTTTTATGTGAGAATTCGCCAATTGTTTCTGTTATTTATTTATTTTGTTGTTTTGCTATTGTCATGCCCGTCACGTAAGTGTTAATTTTGTATTTAATTCGTTTCGCATTATCGAAATTTTGGAAATTATTGTCAAAGATATTTGTGTGTATTCAAGAAGTTATGAAATACGCCTTCCCCATAAGAGAAATTTGTGTAAGGTATTTGATTTATTTTTAAGTAAATAGATATCTGATGTAAGTAAAAATATATAATAGTGGAAGTAATATGTAATGAACGTTTCATTCTATAAGAATCTTAAAGAGAATTGCTCTTTTTAAATTTGTATTTATTTCAAAAATAAAAAGTTCAAATTTTAATTCAATTCTTACAATATTTCCTTTTACAACTATTTTCATTTTTGAAGCATTTATTTTATTTTATGGTAAATAAATATAAATATATGCATATGAATTTTGTTGTATTCGATTTGAGCATTTGAAGATAAGTGTCAATTGCGGGTTTTTTTTCAATAGTTGTTTTCGCGAGAATTATAAACACATTCAAATCAAGTATTGATAAGAATCTGAGGGAGACAATAAAAATGTAAGAAAAAGTCATTAGAGGGGACAGAGTTCAGCCCAGTTCAATTGTTAATGTCTAATTATTTCCAGCTAATACAAGCCCTCAATTTGCATAGCACGATTTGGTTTTATATACCCCAAGCTTTTCGCTTGAAACGGAAATACCATAAATAATACTTAAAAATTTGCTTCCACTAAAAATCCAGCTGGAAACGTGAATTTCTGTTTTACATAATTTACTAAAGATTTTTTTTATTTATGTTGTTGTAGTTGCAGTTGTTGTTGTTGTTGTCAGTTTGTTGCACGAACTACGTGATTGAATATTTGCAACATTTCGCTGCATTTGCATTTTCACCCAAAAATTTTCAGTTGCATTTTGTGGTGTTGTTGTTGTTGTTGTTGTGTTGCAACTGCAACATGTAATACCCTTGGCTGCCCAATGCACTGCCGCTGGGCTGATGCTCGCCAATTACATTGGCAACAACTACAACAACAGCAATAGCAACAACCACATTGTGACCACAATTAAGTTTAAAGTGAAATTCTGCAATTGCTGGCGCATCATTTGAGCAATGCTGAGATGAGCTTTGTGCCTTTGATTGATCGCTGGTTACGTGCTGAAAAAGGCATAAAAGTAGATAGCAATAGCAACACCAGCAGCAACAGCAGCAACAACAACTGCAAATGAAATGTGTTGCTGTTTTGGCCTCCAGGCGGATGCAAAAGTGGGCAGCGCGTCAACGGCGCTCGGGAGCTGCCTGTCAGCTGAGTGTGGCACCGTGATTTCTGCCAAATACCCGACACTAACAACACTTTTAGTTTCATTGCTAAATGAGTGAATTTGTTAACAGAGTTGTTGCTATTGCTGCCGCTGTAATTGAAGATTTGTGCAAATTTCTCACGCTTATCACAGCACGGCAGCATTTCTTATATCGATTGAATGGCAACTGATCAGCCTTAGCTTCAGTAGCATGTGATTATAAATTATGCTATTTATTTTAAAAGAGAGTTTCATTTATAAAGTAGCCATAGAATGTTTATAGATACTGAATATTTATCAAATATTGTTATACTAATAATATTAATATTTATGAAATATTAACGAAAATCGATTGAATTAAATTTGATTATTTCATAAGTATTGAATTAATTTTATAACGCACTAATTATCATAAATACATGATAATTTATTTAATATTTATGTTGTACTTTCTTGAATGCAATGTTAATTACAAATTTCGTTTAAGCATAGATAATTTGCATCAATATGTGCATATGATACGAAATCAAGATACACTTGGAGTGACCCGCAACGTAAGCCTTTGGCTTAAGCCTTTCGACTTTCTAAAAAGTAAATATGCATAAAATGATATGCTAATCGAAAGGCAGTTAAGTATTCTTGAATGCCAGGCCGAGACTTCAACCAATTGACCGAGTGCTATGTGACCCAGTTAGGGTTTTATTTTAGTGCTGTCACCGTCTCGGTGGCATATGCCACTTCTAAGCTAAATATAAGATCTGCCATAACGAATTGTAAACAAATAGTGGCCTGGCCGAAGATCATTTAAATGGCAAAAGCCAAATGGAGCCGCGCTGCAGAGCCAGGCCAAGTAAAAGGCACACAGATCGCAGTTAAATGAATGAATAAGTGAATGAATAAAAAGGGAGCCAGCAACCAGCAGGCAGATAAACAAACAGATACCAGCAAAAAGTCAATCGTTCAAGACTGCCAACAATAGGCAACAGAAATCCTATAAAAGTAGCAACAGCAACAACAATGGCAGCGAGCTGTGCAGCACGCTTCCCAAAAACAGGGAGATACAAATTGTATCTTTAGCTGACATTTCAACATGACTTTAACTACAGCTCCAACTTTGACTCGAGTGCGTACGTGTATGGGTGCGCGCGTGTGTGTGTCTGGGTGTGTGTGTGTGTTTGTATTGGCAAATACGTTTGTAAGGCTTGCTTTTTTCTTGGTTTTTCGGTTTTCGGTTTAACTACATGCCAAATCTGTCAAGACGGCACAAAAGAAAGCGAGCAATCGGCGTGGGTGTCTGGCGGTCAAAGCACTCGGCACTACAATGTGTAGCTGAGCATTTCGTTTCGTTGCCCGCAGCTGACACATGTTGAAGATACCCTAGATAATGGATGGATTGCCAATTGTTAATAAACCGCAGTTTGCCCCCAATAAAAAATGATTTATCATCATCTCGATTCGTCTTCCCTTCAGGCTTCAATGTACCCGATCTCTAAGACTATATTCCATATACATATATATATGTATACTTATAATGAATATATACATTATATATGTGTATGTTGATATATGTTTTTGCATTGTAAAAAAATGTGCGAGCTTTCGAAATTTTTGCTTAATGAGTTCAAGTCAAGTCGTAAAAACGTAAATGACTTTTATATGAATTATTCTTTTATCCGCAATAAAATTGATTGCATTGATTTGCAATTGAGATTAAGTTCAAATTACCTATACTTTGTTTTTGTTTCAATAATTTGTTACTGAGTATGCGATTTTGTTGTTGTTTTGATATCGAGTTCAATTTTAAAGAAATTAAAAATAAATGAATGAAACGTGGCCATTGCTTAGGGTAGGCCAGGAAAGTAATATGGATCGAATTTTAGAAATGTTCTAATTCTATTCTAAATCAAAGAGATGCCAAAATTTAGTAACATTTAATATTTTTAATTCTGTTTACTCTTCTTTCACCTTCTCCACTCGAGACTCAACTAATTACCTACTTAATTTTTTTTACTTATTCATTAACTTTAGTAGATTAATTTTTAAAACCGGCTGAGCAGCGTCGCCTTTAAATTAATGAATATTATTAATTATGTGGTAATTGGTTAAAGTCTCGATATGATTTATTGAAACCAAATAAAGGGTATCTTCCAGCTGTTTGGCTGTGTCGTAGTTCAGGCTGAGTTCCGCGCTTCAGCTCTAAAATTAAACAATATAACTAGTTTTTTGTTTGTATTAAGTGTAGCAGTTCATAGGGTTTCCTCGTTCAAGCAGTCTTCACTAACTTTTTTTTGTTAAAAGCTAAAATGCATTTATAAACGGATATTCACATGCATTCAAATCGATTGCAGATCTTGAGACAAGTCTTGACGTCTTTTACAATGCCTCAAGCTTCCGTTGGCAAAAACAGAAGAAGAAGAAGAAGGAAAAAATTGAACCAAAAACCGGGCTAATTTCCTATTACTGTAATGAACGCTTTATGAACCGCTATAACGCAACACCTTTATAAGTGCTCGATACAGTTTTTCATTCGAGGCAGACAAAGCAGAAATCGAACCGATTAGCGACTACTTGGGTCATATAAATATATATATGTATATGTATATATGTGAAAGAAAAACCTGTACAATGGGCCAAACTAAAATTAGAAGCATGTCTAAAAATCGTGAGATACACAGACACACACACGCACACACAGACATATGGGTAGAGGCTCATAAACATTTAATGTTCGTTAATTGTGTCAATCCGTAACTGATTTGAGTACTTTTTTTTTTTAGAATTCGATTGCAAATTGTAAGCCAAGTTTGTTGCCAAGTTCCGTTTAGGGAGCTTGAACTGCCATTGGCGCTTCCTCAAAGGCCAAAAGACGGGAGTTACTTACGTTTTCAGTGCCCGGGTACAGTTGTTGGCCAGTTTCCTTATCGGTTGGCCACCACACAATTAGCTTTTAGGCTTACGAATTCGCTGTAAGACGCTCCTTATTGGCAATGCTTTTTGGCCAATTGCACAACGCGTCGAAGATGTGCAGCAAAATTTGTCAAAAACTATTTTACAAAAATGTTTTTCGTTTCTTCTTTTCTTTTTTTGGGCTTGTTATATGCTTGACACACACAGTTGCACACACACGCACAGTACTTAGTTTTTCCTTTTACAGCTTGAACGGGCAGCTCATTAGCCCGCTTGCAGTCTGGGCCTGGCTAAGAGCTTAGTAACTTGTTTTGAACTGCGCGCAATCGCAGACCGTCGTCGACTCAGCGTCTGGCCGGCAAGCGCGGCTCTTTTTAAACTCCCCTCACAAAGCCCATACGAAGCTTCAGCGGCTGCCCGGTTCATTTTGCAGTTCGCGAACCAGTTGTTCCAGTAGTTTGGCTTAAAGCTGGATTCGCGCTCTCTGAAAGCTTCCAAATTTTAAGCTTCGTGAACTATTCGAACCATTCCAAATTTGAATTTGAAGTTCGTCTAATATATACATTAAAAATTAGCAATCAGATTTAAATTTCTTTTTTTTTTTTTTAAATAGTTGTTATTAGTATTATTTTTATTATTATTATTATTATTTTTTTTTTGTATTTGTCTTTCATTAATTAATTCAATGAAAACGAAAAGGTAAAATCATAATATAATGAATAGTTTAATAATAATAATTTTAATTTAATAAATTTTACATTTTATTATTATATGATATAATACCATAATATATATATACAAAATACCATATACATGAATATTTATTAATATTATTTTTATTTATTTATTTGCTTCTTTTTTTTTTGCATAAAATAATTTAATGAATAAGGAAAAGTAGAAGTAGGTTATAAAATATGAATACATACTTTATAAAAATAATCCTAAAATTAATAAAATATTTATAATATACATACATGTATAATATATTGAAAATAATAATAAATAATAAATATAAATTCTATAACATACAGATATAATATTTAAGATCATCTATGTGCGATACATTAAATATTTATATTATATATTCTTGCAATTTTTCTTTTTTTTTGTACTATTTATTTGTAAATATAAATATATATGTATATACTGTGCATTATACAATAAATTTTCTTTTTTTGACCTAATCGTAAGACCCAGCCTCTTTCAATTTGAGTTTATCCCAACGAGCATTAGGGTGACTCATGCAAAAGTCCCACAATTTCCGCCAGTGTTGTAGAGTTTGTTTACGTCAACCCATCGCCGTGTAACTGTAATACAATCAAAATACGTCACACGGCTGCTTCAACCACTGCTTGCCAGCGAGAGCCGAGCGGCCCACACAAAAAGTCGCCCGTGGCGCAGCACTCGCCGAGCAGCCCACACAAAAAATAGCGAATGGAGGGAGTGCGCCTGCGCAGGATTAACGATTGGCAGTTGGACAACGAGTTGGCCCAAGGCACTTCAAAGGCAAAATAAATCGCAACTGCTGCGGAACTGCGTTTTACCAATTCAGCTGTAAAAACGTTGCAAAATATTTGTAAAAATATAAGGAAGTAAAGAAGGAGCTAAACAAGTAAGAATATTATTATTATGAGTTCTTATAGATTAAAAGAAACCAAATTTAAAACGTAAATATATAAAAAACAATGATTCTCATAAAAAAAAAACTAACGACAAGCTGCTGCTACTAAATTCTTAAAATTTAATATAAATTAAAAAGGTGCTGATAAACATTTAACATTTGTAAAATAAATCTTGTTGAGTAAAAACATGAAAATATAATATTCTAGTGAAACAGAAGCATGAAAAGAATATTACTGAAATCGGAAAAAATCTCTGAAGTAACGTGCGATGGCAGGGGTGGGTTGATGAATCATGCGAATTAGCATACACAAGCAGGTCTCATGTCTGTGCAATATCGTATCTGTGTCTGTGTGTGTTTGCGTGTGTCTCAAGTAATGAAAAATAACAACAAGAATGTGCGAAAAACGTGAACACTCTAGCAGCAGCAGCAGCAGCAGCTGGTGAAAAAGCAAAATAAAGAAAAAGTTTTCAACTGATTTGTGGTAAATTCAATGTGTGAGGGAAAACACTTCCTTTTGTTTGGAACTTTTCCTTGATGTTTCTATTTATACATTACCATTTGGACTTCTTTTCATCTCGAGTACTCATTCCAACTAATTGCTATTCCATGCAGCTACGCGAAACTACGTGAACGCAGCGAGGAACCCAAGCGCAGCGCGGCTCAAGCCAAAAGGCATTTAAAATGGCTGACGAGTATATGCCAGATGTCAGCTTGATGGACACAAGTGAGTAACATATTGTAGCCACAGATAATGGCCCCACTTAACAAACATCATTAGCCAAACGGCACAAAGTCGCAGCCGAAGTTTTTATCGAAGTTTTCTGTTTGCTGAAACTCAATGAAAGCCCACATTCTTTCGATTACAGCCATCAAACTGAATAGAAGTTGTTTAATTATGTTAATTACTTTGGTCTCGGATTATACAATACACTTTTTTTTAAATAATAATATTTTTTGTATTTGACTGAGTGGAATATTTTATACAATCTTATATACAACAAAATTTAATTGATATAAAAGATGAAAGTAAATTACATTTTTACCAACTTTAAATTATACAATTATGAAAACTAAAAATAAAAATGAGGCATATAATAGATAAAAACTTATTTATACTCCATCTATAAACTAACTTGAGGAAAAAAACAATTTGCATTTTGAGAGAGGTAGAAGGATATGTCTCCGGATATGACTCACTCACGAAGGAGCCCTCTCAGGCTAGCTTATGTGAAATAGGAATTATTATTATATTCAGTTCTATTTAGTTTATAATTAGACTAGCTAGTCAAGTATTAATATTTTCTCGAGGCAAAGACAGAACTGTATTTAATCAATTGCTCTCCTGCCGCCTTCTCTTCTGCCGCAGTTGTGCCCGCCATACTGGGACTCACCGCAGCCGCAGTGCTCTCGACTGTGGCCTGCATCTGTGCCCGGCAGATGCGCATACGGAACAAGAAGCAGAACCAGCACGATGCGTCGTTCCCGTTCCAGCCGACGCGCCGTCCGACCGCAGTTCGTTCGCCGAGTGGCCAGCCGCCGCACTATCTGAAGAAGTCGCCATCGCCCACCGGGGGCAAGCAAATGGGCCTGCTCTCGCCCATGCAGGATCAGTCGACGTCGCCGACAGCACCGCAGAACATGAAGTACGCCGAGGAGGACGAGGTGTCGCAGCAGGCGCAGCTGGCCCAGCAGCAGCACCACTCCAACAAGCTGAATGTGGTCGACAATGCCAAGCACCACAATCAGCACCACTCGCCGGTGGAGACCATTGCCAATGGCAATGTGACCATCACTCTGGACGAGACGCTGACCAACGGCAAGGAGCTGACCGTCACTGATCAGTACGGAAAGCTGGGCACCATTTACTTCAAGCTGCGCTACCTGGCTGAACGAAACGCTCTCATGGTCTCCATCATACGCTGCCGCGGACTGCCCTGCAAGGGTGGGGCCGGCGGCACCGGCGATATACCCACTGGCATGAATGGACGCACTCAGGCAGCCACCGATCCGTATGTGAAGCTGCAGCTGCTGCCGGACAAGCAGCACAAGGTGAAGACCCGCGTGGTGCGCAACACCCGGAATCCGGTTTATGACGAGGACTTCACATTCTACGGCTTGAACATGAACGATCTGCAAAACATGAGCCTGCACTTTGTCATACTCAGCTTCGATCGCTACTCGCGCGACGATGTCATCGGCGAGGTTGTCTGCCCATTGTCCTCCATCGAGATTGGCGACATATCCAAGGAAGCGCTCTCCATCAGCAAGGAAATACAGCCACGCAGCCTGAAGATACGCGCCCAGGGACGCGGCGAGCTCCTCATCTCGCTCTGCTGGCAGCCGGCCGCCGGACGCCTAACTGTCGTCTTGTTGAAGGCCCGCAATTTGCCTCGCATGGATGTCACCGGCCTTGCTGATCCCTACGTCAAGATCTACTTGCTCTACAACGGCCAGCGCATAGCCAAGAAGAAGACCCATGTCAAGAAACGCACGCTCAGTCCGGTCTTTAATGAGAGCTTTGCTTTTGATATTCCAGCTGCAGAGGTGAGTTCCATTTGATATCTTTGATAAGTCCCCTGGCGTTGCTTGTTATCTCTAATTTTAGACATATCTATAGGTTTAGTTAGAGGGGGAAAACGTTTCAAAGCAAAGCGAATTTGAATTTATATGTAAAATAGATCACTTTCTCTCCTCGTTAAGAATTTCATATAAAAGATAGAAGTATTCCATTCAATGCGGGGGCTTCTGTGGTTGAATACGCTGATTTCATATACATACATACGACTCCGACTCGCCAAAAAAAAGTCTTTCGAATGCTAGAGAACTGCACGATTATTATATATATGTATATATATATCGAAAAAGTAAATTAGAGGTATTATTATACAATGAAGTACCCATAGTAATGTCCACAATATAGCCCAAGCGCAGCCGCTGCACACACTGTGTGCGTGTGTGAGTAAATGTGTGTGTGAATGCATTATTTGTAATGTATTCATACAAGAGAAGAGTCAACTGATGAGACTATCCCCCTTTAAAGGCTTTGCGTTATTTCCTAGTCTCGACTAGAGTAATCTTGTCTTAACTTTTTGATGGAATAAATGTTCATTTTAATATAATTAAGTTTCCATTCATTCAATTCGAAAATGTCTATTATCTTTGCCCTAACTGTATTGTCGGTGACTTGGGTATCACATCTGCCACCATTTATAAACTGAATGAAAAACTTATCAACTCCTGTATATGGATGTACATTAAAACGAATCGTATTTCAGGGCACTGGCGCCACATTGGAGGGCGTCTCATTGGAGCTGATGCTACTCGACTGGGATCGCGTGACCAAGAATGAGGTAAGCCCACATATTACTTTTTAATTGGCAGCAACCTAAAGCAGTCTCTCTGCCTCTGCCTCTGGCTCTGTCGCACCTAGGTTATTGGACGCCTAGAGCTGGGAGGACCCAATTCGAGCAGCACCGCTTTGAACCACTGGAACGAAGTTTGCAATTCGCCACGTCGCCAAATTGCCGAATGGCACAAATTGAACGAGTGAAATGCTTGAGCTGTATCAATTTTCAGGGGCAGCGACCTGGCGCTGGCGCCGCCTACCCAACCACAACAACCAATAATAACAACAACAACTTTATAAAAGAAAACAGGCAAACAAGAAATTATTAAGTTTTTAAATTAAGTTCAAGATTTTACAATGTTTTCATTCGACTTATGCTCAATGATTTTTATTTATTTTTTATGATAAACAAAAGTTTAAGCAAAAATTAATATACCAGAAGAAAACAAAAAAAAAAAAAAAACGAGAAAAACTTAAGTATATTAAATGTATTAGAAAATGTTTAGTGTGTAACAACAATGCGTGTAATGTAAGATAATTAATTAAAAGCTTCACATACTCCTACATATATAATGAAAGATAAAACAGGTAACACTACGAATAGAAATAGAAACACTTTGATTTGTTGCTGTATAGAGATGAATTACTAAATTTTCCATTCAAGTATAAATTCTGTAAGAGAGAAAAATTCTTTAGAGCTTTCGCTTTTCATTTGCACATGGAAAATACGTTTTACCTGAACAACTATTGTTTGTAGTCCATTCATTATAACTCTGCCCACCATAAATACTTTTGGTATTTGTTTGAAATGTATTAATAATGTATTTAATCTCTACATCTTAGGCATATGTTGATTTCTTCTTTATCACAAAAACTTAAATACAAATATAGACACAACCCTCACAAAAAAGAAAAAATAATAATAATACCTATTCTTGAATAGATTTTAAATAAAAAAATGAAACTTTTCACAATGTGTCCGAAGTGAGAAGAACGCTTACTGCTTATCACTTATATAGACAAATAAAAGCAAAAACAAAAATAAATTAAAATTAAATGAAAAGAAAGAAGAAGAAATCTAAATGAAAAATGAAACTTGAGAGAACACGCAGCAAATTGCTTAGGCACCAAAAAGCTACAAAGTCACACACAAAAGGAACGAAACAAGTCAAAACCCAAGAAACCAAACAACACAATAGAATAGTACTTTTAAGAAATGTAGAAACCACAATTACAACTAATTGTACGACGTAGAGTTACGAGATATCACATATGAAATACATAGAATGCATAGCTCAAACTGAATCCAGAACCCAATAGGCATTACTTAACGCTAACGCCACCCTATGATATATACAAGCATTACTAAGCAAAGCTTACGACGCAGAGTTGAATCCATTATTCAAATGATATTACCACCATCGGCTATTCTCTGCGACATTTTGTAAAATGTAAAACTGCGAGAAGGAAAACAAAATAAAATAAAAATAAAAGTAAGCAAGCAAAAATAAAAGTAAAATAACCCCGAAGAAACTTTGAGTAAATTTGAGTCCACAATCAAACTTCAATTCGTCTAGAGCGCATACAATAATTTAAAAAACAGAAACAGATTTTCATATACATAGATGTATAACTATAAAAATACGTATAAATAAAGGTACATACTTCATGCAAATAAATAATTAAATATATGTATATCTCCCTATATATATATATATATATATGGATATATCACACCTACATACATGCACATATATATAAAGTGAAATGTGAAATTCCACATATGCATATGTAATAGGAATGTTAAGAAACATTGAATGGTTAATTTCAGTAATAAAAACGTACATAAAATGACAAAAAATCTGTATTTTAATTGAGCACTTAGCTATCCGTTTGTTTGTTTTTTTTTTTTAATTTGTAATCAGTCAAAATGTGAAATATTCACCCCAAATAATATATATTTGCTCTACTTCACTGATAAGGGTCTTCAACCTGGGCTCTTCTCAGTTTAACTCAGGCGCTCGAAGTGAACAGCGAATCTTTGGAAGAGCGCTTGAATTGAGATTCGCAATTATCAACATTTTCGGTTTATTTCATTTATTATTTGCGCAGAAATGCATTTAGTTATTGTTTTAGCAGCAATAGCTGCATACGTACATGGTGGGTAATAATATACATTGTATACCTTAATCCCCTTTATTTTTGCTTCCTCTCCCACTTCTTTCCCTATATTAAAAGCTTCAATGGGCAGTTGCACGTCGGATGAGTTTATGTGTCGAAATGGCGCCTGTATTGACGTGTCACTGCTCTGTGATGGCACGAAGGAATGCCCAGATGCTTCGGACGAGGTTTTCAGTGCCTGTTACAATGTCACCTGCAGTG